ATAAAATCGTAAGTAATAAAACATCCATAATAACATCTCATGTCAAAACCAAAGTAGAAATAAACAAAACATGTTATCATAAAACAATATCAGAGTGTAATTCCAAAGATCTCATATGCGGAAAACCATAGTGTGATGCGCTGCGATCGAGCCTGCTCCTTTCCTTTGAAAATGAAGTACCTGAAATCAAAACTGAAAACCATAAGCACAAAGCTTAGTCTTCGTCGGCGGTGGTGCAACAGCGATAGCAAACGAACGGCGGCAGAAGGCAGAATAAGAAGAAGAAGAAGAAGAAGACACGAAGGGGTGGTGGCAGTCCTGAGGTTGCTGGCGGCCTTCGCTGATCGAACAATAGGGGTGATGACGACGCTGGTGAGGGAGGTATAAGAGGGGTGACGACTGAAGAGGGTTTAGTTAGGTTTAGGGTTTGTATGGGCTATATACTCGTGCCCTAGGAAACTCAATGCCATAATATCAAGAATGGCCCGTCCGTCTCCCTTTTCTTTCAAAACAATCCCACAATATACCCTTTTAACCCCAGCCATCTAAAATCCCTTCAAATTAAGTCCTAAATTTACCCAACAGCCCCTCCCTCCACAAATTGTTTTCAAAAGAAGTCATTAGATTACCAAAACGCCCCTAGCTTCCAAAATCTTTTCAATTTAAGTCCCAATATTTTACCAAGTAGTCCCGACCTTCATAATTATTTACAAATTCAGTCCGGATTTTACACTTTAACCACCGCCTTCCAAAATTATGCCAATTTACTCCTCGAAATCAATACCTTGCTATATAATTATTGATTTTGGGTTACTATTCATTCATTAATTTATTTTATTTATTTATTAAATAAACGAGGTGTTGCATTAAGCTTTGTATTTTTCTTTTTAAATTACGAATTGACTGTATTAAACTGTGAATTTTCTGTTTGAACTATAAATTGACTAGATTAAGCTGTGAATTATGTGTAGGCCCTAACTATGTGTATGAAACTATGAATTTACTTGTATTAAGTTATGAATTTTGTGTATAAACTTTGAATTGACTATATAAAGAGTGTTGAGTTGAAACTATGATTGTGGATGCATACTTTTTGTGTAATAAACTTTGAATTTCTTGTAATAAACTATGATTTTTGTGTTTTAAACTGTGAATTGACTGCATTAAACTGTGTATTTTCTTCTTAGAATATGAACTGACTATATTAAGATGTGAATTTTGTGTATTAAATTATGAGTTGATTGTATTAAGTTGTGAATGAATTGTCATTAAGCTGTGATTATTTATAATTTTTTTGTTTGTTTTTGAAAAAATGTAAATTTTTTTTCACGGCTTAATATATTAAATTCACAATTTAAAATATGAATGATTTATGTATAAATTTTTTTGTTAATTTTTTTTTCTGAATATATATATATATATATATATATATATATATATATATATATATATATATTTGTTGTATAAGTATGTAAGAATACATTAGTTTTAATAACAATTTTGAATTAAATTTAAAATGAGTGAAATAAATAGTTTTATTAGACTGTAAATGTAGTATTTAAGTTATTAATGCATGACTTTGTTTATAGATATGATTTAGAATAAAATAAGTGTTGCGATGCTGGTACATGTGATTGGTGGCAACGTGTGGTGGTGATAGTAGTAGTGTTTGAATTTTTGATTTCCTTGAGTTTGTGAATTATTATAAAATGGTTTGTATTACGTTGTGAAATTTTGAATTAAACTATAAATGAACTGTATAAAGTTGTAATTTATATAAGTTGTGTGTTCAAATACGAGAGCATATAAGAATTAAAATATTATACTGCAAAAATTACAATTTTGCCTTTTTTGTATCGAAAAGAGAAAAAAAAAATTTCACATGTTTAATAAAAATATCATGTAAATATTTACTAACTAATGAGATTCTTAGGGTTCTTAATCTTTTGTGGTTCTCATTTGAAACCAATATATATATATATATATATATATATATATATATATATATATATATATATATATATATATATATATATATATAAAAGATTTTTTGTATGTGTTTTCTTGTTTTTCATTAAGATTATATATATATATATATATATATATATATATATAAACTCAATGCGAGAGATATTACAAATATAGGATAGCTTGAGTCGAATCGGAAACTCAACTTATAAGATAAACATGGTAAATGTTTATCTTCATTTACTAATGAAATCGGTGATCAATAATTTGAAATAATTCTCATAATAACTTTGAGTTGAATGATAACGATATATACATTTATGTGGTCCAAAAATATAATAATGTATTGAAACTCTTGAAATATGTTTGTAAGAGCAAAAGTATAGATCACAAAGAACAAAAAACTATAATAATACTCAAACTCTCTCAAAGAACAACTGATCATACAAAACAAACACTTAACCTAATGATTATGCTAAACAAACTCGTAATGATTATACAAAACTCGTAATCTAATGATTCTAAATAACACTCTTTACCTCCATCATTGCGACACCCTTTTTCAACAACACCAATGCACTTCCGGTCCTTATACGCTCAGAATCTAAATTTTAGCCCTCATCTTTCTACTCTATTCAAAATATGCACAAAAAATACCAAGTTAATATAGAAAGAAAAACTGTATTTGCCATGTTCAAGACTGAAGGGACCATTTCCATCATTTCTCGTAAAATATTTTAACAAAATATATGTGATAGTACACACTACACGGTACATTTTTTAATCAAACAAAAACCCACCTGAAGTTATTTGATTAAAGTGGCGTCTCAAAGTAAGTTTTGTATCTGAAAACCATCACATGTTTGTCGTCATAAAAACATGAACATTGTGGATGTTGATGGTGCAAATGATCGGATGCAATAACAAATATTTATTCTCTTAAAATTAGTCACACTTGTCCATATTAATGTTTTAATGATTGACAAACATAAATTGAGTTGTTTTAGAATTTTGATGTATACTATCTTGTAAGATCATATTTTAACAATTCATGTTTGGGAAATCTTGTTTCGTGATGCATGCCACCTCCAAACTTGGTTTAAATAATATTTCAAGAATTAATTAATCAACAAAATATTTTAAAAATTAATGAAATTTGTGTTATTAACAAAACCTTGCCAATGCCGCCCCTTGTGGACTGTGGTCGTGTGCTTCAAGCCTTCAACATATTTAAATATAAAGCCCATTCTTTCTCGGGTCCTTTTTCGAATTTAAGCCTGGTCCAGTGCAAAATATGAAAATGGTTTGTTTTGTTTTTACATTAATTTGAACTTTGAAGTACGTATTTTAAAGAGGAAAATAAAAAGAGTTTTCACAAAGTAACCATGTTTTTTTTACTTTTTGTTAAAATGGCCATCAATTTCATGTTGGTGTATGCGACATCAATATTTGCTGAAAAATAGTCCCAGCACCCATTATCTAAGTCATTTTTTTGTTTGGGTTTTTTCTTATTGTTAGTTTATTCATTTGCAAAATTCTCACTCTAAAAATCAATTTTTTTTTATTATTATCTTTTTTTTGTCTTTAATATATATTTCTTTTTGTTTTTTTCTTAATATTATTTGATTTATTCATTATTATCATTATTATTAGAAAAAATTACAAATAATAATAATAATAATAATAATAATAATAATAAAAAAGCAGAATTTCATCTATATTAACTAATTGTTTGAGTGTTATAATTGCATTGTGCATTTATGTGTATTATGCCGAAGAAAAGCATTCAATCCAACATTATACATGGTTTCCATCCACTAGAATGTTACAATTTGTATGTATGTCAATATAAAAAAAATAATATATATACTGGATACGCTTCTTATAAATCAACAATCGCATAATGGTTATCATGTACGTGAACAATCACAACAGATGCATGATTTGAAATGTCCTACGCGTCATACCAAAGTGAAAACTGAAACATTCTTTGCTCAGGTAATGAATGATAACATCATATTTGTAAACAATGAAAATAGGAATGTCTGATATAATCAAACAATATTTATGCACCGCATAACTCAATCCAAAGAAATTCAACAAGTGACTTATTCTGTTAAAATATACACCATAGATCATTGCATACTCTTCATGGTGTATTAATAAAGCTTGTATAAATCTGAATGCATCATCATGCCAATAATCTTCACTATGACCGTGACCAAGAGAAACAGTAATAACCTGGAATCGACAACTGAAACGTTACGAATAGATGAATCTAATGGACTTAAATAATTAAATATTACATATCTAACCCTGTATATAATTATAATATTTATTAATATTACTAAAATCTAATAATAAAAAAAGACAAAAAATCATATGTGGATCAAATATGCAATAAGTAAAATATTAAAAAATAAAATAAAATAAAATAAAAAATGATTCGATGGAACGCTAATTGATTTGATTAGTGTCAGTGGGTACAATTGGCAATTAGGGGTACTATTGGCACCTTATTATAAATAATTTCACGAAGAAATTTACCTCGAAGAATTATAGGAAGAAATGTTTGCAGTATATTAAAAAATTAGTTTTTAAATATATTTTTGGTGGTGTTATAAAAAGCGAATGCTCTAGCATATAGTCTTACGGCTCTATTGTAAATTTGGTGTTACTTATGTAAAATGTCAGAAAAAAAAAAAAAAAATTATTTTGGGGTTATAAAAAGCAAATTTTGTCAAAATAGTAAATTCATCAAGCAATGTGTTTTTACTGGTATCAAATCTTGGCTCAACTACCAATTGTTAATGTCTTGATCTCAAAACGTTCAAGTTGTGGCTTTAATTTGTGAACATTTTGATATTGTCTCAGTTGATGGGAAACTTTTCCTCGGATGAAGTGTTAAAATATTTATTTTGACCACAGTTTTGATTATTTGGCTTTCTAATAACTCTGAAAGGTGACTACTGATTCTCACTTGTTTAGATAAGAGTTACGGAATCAAGAAGAAGGCCTTCATGTAACATGTTGAGAATAATAAGATGATGATAGAAACTTATGAAATGAATCTGTTAAAATGAATGTTAATCCCAAAAACAAATAAGTCTCTCAACAATTTTCCAGTTTAGCTCTACATTAAACCCTACCAAAAAAAAAAGGTAATTAAACCCGAAACTCTACTAGTCCCAGTATAATAACTACTATAAAGATGAAAGAATTTACAAATCTTTGCCAATTGTCATCTAGATCGTTTACCAATCTCTTCATTTAAAAGTCTCATTAACTTTCTCTTTCCTTTATCACCACTCGAATCATCATTACCCAAAACACTCAAGAACGAATTTATCTCCTCTAAATTCGCCTTTTTAAACAGACCCGATACAATATCATCAGAATCTGTAGTCAAACCGCTGTTTTTGTTGCAATCAGGAATATTTAATTCCTGAATCTTTAATGAGTTCTCACCTTCCTTGTGGGATTGAGACAGAAAAGGTCGCGATTCCCAATACTCTTTGCATACACGATTCCTATCCATCGACTGTATACCCTATCAAAACCACATCATATCAATCTGTTAAGATGCATTCAAGATCATGTCATATCATATCATGTCATGTCAAGTTTACCTGCAAGATGGAAGGCGAGGAAAAACCAAACATTTCCATGCCATCAAGACTTCCGGGAGGCTGCAAAGGTGGAAGATTTAATATTCTTGACTTATGTTGCTTTGAGATCTCGTTGTTAACTCTCTCTCTAATCATTTCCCAACATCTTGCTGCAGATAAATGTACAAATACTTCATTTGGATTATTCTCCAATGAAACCTGAGAGAATATAAGTGCATTTTTATCACCTCGTCCACCAAAATACAAAATAGGCGCCTTTTATAGCCATAAAGATTTTTAATTACCATAAATAACGGTCTATTCTTTCCCACATCAAGAATTTCCGAAACATAATAGCACATATCCGTAGGATTTAAAACATTTATGTACTTAACCCGACTCCGAAAACCTGCACAAAAAAAAATAAAGAAATAAATAAATTCAAATTTATGTCTTCCATGGAACAATCATGTGAGATGTAAATCAGGTACCATCCACATTGGAATTGAAACTCTTACACTGACAGTCAGAGAGACTGTCAGTGTAATTAATGTAATGTACCTTTAGGGTAAATGGCACGACTATCGCACCAAAACTTTCCCGATTGGACCTCGCCATATTCCAAAGGCTCCACATGACAATTTATCCTTCTAACAACTTTTGCCATGCGGGGCCCTTTTTGGCGGGGGTTTGTTTGAGTGCATGACGGACTTCCAGAAGCAGCATTTTGTACGTTGTTTCCTGGCCTTGTATTTGCGTATAATCCAATAATTACAATTTTGTCCTCCTTATTTTGTACTCCACTCCCACACTTCGGTATTTGCTGCGATAACACACCCGTATTTTCCCCATTGCTAGACTCTTTTACACTTGAAAGATCCTTAGTGGGACCCGTGTCTTTTGACAAAACTCTATGGCAAGAAAGGTTTTCCGGGTGTGACTCGATGGCTTCTTTTTTCACTTGAGCTTCACCCCCGGTGCACCCTGAAACCGAATCGGTTCGAACCGGTTTATTGTCACCTTCATCATCACTAACCAGAATAACATTCTCATTGGGCTTATTCAAGATTTCTTGGACCTTCTCTTGCCCTTTTTGCTCTTTCACCTCTTTGTCATTGGGCCCATTAAGCCCCAAGGGTCGTGAGGTATCTTTAGATACGTATGAAGTCAAAGAAAGTCCAAGATCGAGTTTTGCCCATCTGTATATAGCACTTAATTTTCCCTCTAACGCCTCAACCAAAATGGTTAAATCTTTAATGTCATAACGAAGAAGAAAAAACTTTGAACCCCAAGCACACGAGCAAAACTGTTTTGCATGATTTAAACATGAATACTTTTCAGGTGAACAGTTGTGACAACCTGCAGCCGATAAATGCAAGTCAAAATAGCAAATGCTGCATTCTCTCTCATTTGTCGCATCAAAAGTTGCCTCCATTTTTAAAGCTTGAGAAGTGTTGCAAAGAAAGTCCCTCCTTACACGCTCAATTTCCACACGTGCCTAGAGAAAAATAAACACATTGAGTTGTTTTGTTTTTGACTTAATACATAAAGAACGACTTAACAGATAAAGAACGTACCTTTAGGGTTTGGGATAGAATCCCATCTTTCCCACAAACAACCTTCCATCTTAAGTTATCAGGTGTGTTCTTTCTAAGTAGATTAAGTTCCCAATGAGCTTTTACAGCATCTCTTGCAGCTCCAAGTAACAATTTATCATGAGAAATTGAGGTTTTTCGAGCCTGTTCACGATAAAGCTCAATGGCATTATGCCCATGTGGCAACCAGTCAACAGGGGCTACATTGACTGCTTCTGCACAATTGAACCCACAGTTGAATCCTGAATGATATGCTCGTGGAAAAGTCAAAATAAATTCTCCTGGATTTTGAACACATCGGAAAACCGGAACTCCTTCGGATTTTAATATGGAAGGTGAAAGTTGTGTCACCTGAATTAAATATAGATAATAAAAAAAAAAAAAGTTAATAATAATCTCCATAATTGACAACATTGTTCAAGAATCAGAATCTTGAATTACAAATCTTACAAGTTTGTGAAGCAAATCAGGTTGCTCTGCAAAAAGGTTAGGTAAATGCTTTTTCATGGCTGCTTCCAATTTAATGGCGTCTTTTCCAGGTACACCATACCACATCTTTGAAGCACCAAAATGCATGTAATTCATTGAATATAGATGATGATCTTCAACATGCTGTATTTTTTTTAATGTTAATATTCGTGAAGAAAGATACAACAAGAAAAAGAAGTAAATCAAGATCTTCCACTCACCCAACAGAATGATGAAAAGCACATTCCAATGTACAACCATGGGACAAGAACACCAGATATATCACTGCTTTCATAAGAAAGTAAAGATCCAGGAAGCCTTGGAAAGTTATTCAAGTTCCATCCAGATCTAACATACTTTTCATCTGACCCGGATACTTGACACGGATCTTTTGGAAACCCGCTACCGAATGTACCCGTTTCCAGGTCAGCACCATAAAGAACCTACATTTTCACAAGAAATGAACAAAAAAGAACATAAATTTTAAGTTGATAAATGCAAAATAAAATAAAAAAAAAAATGTTTTTAGTAAGATAGATACCTCGATTTCTTTACTAGGTCGTTCTACCATACGCCAGTATTCACCCTCGATGTTTTCTAAAGATGGGTCCCACGAATCTTGATTTGTATTCATTTCGTTTCTTCTGAAATACTGAGTCTTGAAATCATCTGCATACTTTTGAAACTCATTAAGTGTGAAGCGTGGACCGGGTTCGAACCCAAAACAAGGTTCAGGAACCATTGGGTCAACAGGGTCTGACCCGTGAATCTTTTGGTCAAACTCTGTTTTCACACATCTTCTTTTTTTCGCTTTCTTATGGTAATTAGGAGTCAACATTTTGGTCAATGAATCACGGTTTTGAAGTTTATCAACTCTTTGGATACGAGTAGCAAAAGTTGAATTTTCCCATACGGTTTTTTCCTTAAGAGGACATGGAGGCTTCCATGATGAAGGTGGAACTATTCGACAAATTCCATATGCTTCAGCTTTTTCTCTTATGCTTGAAATGTACTTCAGAGTATCTTCAAACTCCTGATAAACCAATTAATCATTTATATTCAGACATTTCATTCAGTCCAAAAAGGAAATAAGTCATTAAAACAGAATGGTATTCGTAGATACCTCTTCACTTGGGTAAAACACAGGAGCTTCAAGAAGATCAGGGATTCGAGCTTCTTCTGGACGCCATTTTGCAATAACCTGATAAAATTGTTTTATTTTTTTTAATTGAGTATATGTATACACAATAATTCAAACTTCAAAGTACAAAGTGTAATATTAAATTATGTTTTATGTTAAGTTATTAACCTTTTGGCAGTTGCTACACTTTTCACATCCACGAATAACCCCTTTAGAGATCGGATTGCTTGAAGTTTGGCTCTGCATTAATACCATTAAGTCAAGAAATGTCATACAGACACTGTAACTAATTAAAAAACAATATTTGATGACATACCTTTTCAGATTCAGACTCATCCCCTGAATTGCTATCAAAACGCCCATAGTTTATCCAAGGTCTAGGTCTAACAGACCTCTTAATCGTTTCATCATCATCATCATCATTGTGCTTGATACCTGATTCGTTCTTGACTGGATGTTGTTCAGAAACACTCATGGGGACAGAAACTTTGTTGTCCTCAACTCTTTTAAGAGAAAAGGCTGTAATCGATTCAAACCCTGGTGGAATTGATGGAATATCCATGGTTTCTTCTTTGACATGACGCCTGATGAGTTCTGTCCCCATCATGAAGTTGTTTTCTCAAAAGTTCTTGTTCAAGATTCTCTGATTTTATGAATAATACTTTATCAGTTTATCTGCATCATAATTTGCAAGCATATAGAGAAATTAGTAACAAAGAAAAAGTCTCATGGATTGGATCTGATCCATGGTTGATATATACATATACATAGATGATATAAAAGTTCAAAGAACATGAGTATTGATTACCCCAAAACAAAAGAGAGAGATGCAGTTGTCCTTGGACAAATGCAGTTCAGACCCAGATGTTAAAATATGGATGTAAACTTCAATGAAACCTAAGAATTAAATAAAACTACAGATGATTAAGAATTTACTTAAAAAGGAATGATCGATTTAAAGGTTGATAAATTGAGAACAAAATCAACAGATCTGGTCTAACCTGGCCTTACCCAGATTGTCAAAGTTACCCAGAACACATCAATCAATTAATTTAGGATTTACAGAACAATAACTGATAAAAAAAACAAAGCAAAAGCAGGACTGACTCAGAACCCACTTGCAATAAAAACAATATGCGATTGACCTGGTCAAAATCCCTAAAAAGTGCAAGAAAAAGGGGGATCAGAAAAGAAGGGGAAAAAACCCTGGATACACAACCAGATGAGCACAAGATTAGGATTGCATGTTGCAGAAAAAACAATACCCAATATAAATTCAAGCATCTGGATGAATAAAAACACAAACAGTAATATAATAGGCTAGCCCTAGATAAACATCACAACAAATCTTGATGATCCAAAACTGTACAAATCTGGTAGTGAATACCTGTATAGGATTGATTAATAAGAACACGGTTTTTGTTGGATGATATCAAGAACAGGAATCTGGTAGGAAAATTTGAGGTGGGTTCGGATTTGGATTTGGATTTGGATTTTTATTTTCTTAGGGAAAATAGTAAATATTTTTACAAGGAGACTGGTCCAACCAACTTAAAGTTTTGTAGGGAAAACATTGGTTTAATTAGATCTTTAATTACAATATTATTGTGTTTGTAGAGGGTGGAGGACCATGGATATGTTCGTTGATCAAGAAAGAAAAGTCATGCGTGAGGCGAGAAGTTGGGGAGAAATTGGATTGAATTGAATTGAATGGAATCTTCTTTTAATTGCTTCTGTTTTTATATTTATTTACTGTTTGATGTTTTATTATTTGGGAAGTTTTTGGTTTACCTGTGTGTTGTGATAATGAAGACGGAGTGAGATTGGTTGATGCCCGAATGAGGGAGGAATTGGATCTTTGTTGTGAGTTTTGTTGAATAAAAGCATGAGACAATACTCCTTTTGTTATTGTTACCCCTTTTTTCTCTTGAATTCGATTGGACGGTCAGGATGAAGACACACTTGCAGTTCCAAAATCCGGATGTATTTCAACAACCTAAATAGGTGTACGGCTCATGCAATACCATGGGCTATATTATATAATATTTTGAGTCTTTCTAAGATGGTGCTTAAATTCTTTTTAAGAATACATTATTGTTTTCTCCTAAATTTATACAAAAGTAAATCAGAGTTTTAGTCCCTTTGGTTCACACCGATATGTGTTTTTAGTCTAAGTTTTGTATTTTTGACACCACTTCTTCTTATCGTTTCAAAAGTTGCAATCTAAATGAGCCTTTTTTTTTTTAATATCCTCGTCGCCTACTAGTGAGCCGGAAAGCTTATGAACATCTCTCATTCCTCTCTCATTTGACAACCACATATCGTCTTCGTAGCTGGTCGATTGGCTTGAATCTTTCATTCTTTTGAATCGTAAGCTATTATCAATGTATACCTAAAACCAAACTAATTATTTTTCTCTAACCAATTATCTTTGAAACTAACTATGTCACTTACTATCTATTAAATATCTGTAAATTATCATTGTATCCTTTTTGTTTTTTTTATAATATTAATAATTTTAAGGACCAAACGTGTAAAATACTATTACAAAAAATTTAAAAATATTTTCAATCATCGGACCGTTCACACAGTCACCTATACATTTCCCTTCTTGGTAGCTCTAACATCGACAACAACTTGTTGGACTCCACCTCATTCTACATCGGATACTGGCTTCAATGCTCTCCTTCCAACCTAAAAGTTTGGGTCACTCTTCCACCCTTTCTCCGGTCTCTATCGCTTTCTACCAAATAAAAGTTGTTGATAACTCATTTGGTTTGCCATAGGAAGTAAGTAATTTTGGAAAGTTGAGTCATATATAGGGCATACATAAGTCTCTAATCATTTTCCCTCTTCCTTGTGGAGGTCGTCGTCAATAAACAACTATATCCCCCATTTAATTCTCTTTTCACATGTATCGGTCTAGGACCAAAAATCAAAGTAGTGATTGCTCAAAGAAGAGCAGTGGAATGTTTATGGCATTTTGAGATGGTAGATCATCAGAGAACGAGTGAACGACATCAACATGCTTAGGAGGCGTGAAGTGAAATGGTGCCCCGGTTGTCAGAAAAAGGTCATATTGATGGAATTTAAGTGTTGATGTGGTGTGATGTTTTTTTCTGCTTATTTTTATTTTAATGGTTGGAGGGAGGGAATGGGAAGTGTTTACGGTGGGGATGCTCTGAAGGTCGCATGCAATCTTTACCTCCATCATTGCGACTCAGCCATTGTCGCACTCCTCCTTTATCTTCGTCTCTTTTTCCTCCCATCACTACTCAGACAACACTACAACTTGTAGTAGCTAAAGTTTCTCATACGGTAAAATCTAGGAGTGGGACTTGGATGTCTTATAATGTGTAATTCTAGTTTTAATTGGTTTTCTGAGCTGATTAATGTCGAGTTTCTTAATTGATTGTGTATTCTGAGTTTAAACTCATTGGTTTCATCATGTATAAGTTTGGTTCTTTTTTCCAGCCGAGTTTTCTGTTTTTCCGATGACATTTTGTGGATTTATTTTTCCGACAAGATACAGGTGGTCATAGTGGTGATTGTTGGCATAGTAATTATCGAATGTTGAGTTTTATAGGCTCGTCTTTCCGGCGTCAATTGGATAGTGGCGATGGTGATGTGATGTATTGATGTTGGTATTAATGATGGTGGTGGTAGTGATTGGTGGTGGGGTGATGTGTTGATGTTGGTATTAATGATGGTGGTGGTGATCAACGGTGTAGTGGTTCTTTAATTTGAAACTTAAAAGAAAAAAAATACAAGGCTGTTTTTGTAATTTCACATATACCAAACAAAGCATTTTAGACGGTAACAATTTCAGGGCTACAAGTGTAACTTTTTGAAAACCATAAGAAGGGGTCGTTTCATAAATTCAAAAGGACAAAATTACAAAAATGGTCCTTATGGTTTGCCAAAAGTCACAAAGTCAGTCCTTATTAATTTTTTTTTTTTGATGTAAATGGTCCTTGTGGTTTGAAAAACTTGCACGGATGACCCTTTTTACTAACGCCGTTAGTATTCAGCCGTTAGGGACTGAATTCGTAAGGACATTTTCGTCTTTTTAAGTATAAAGGGACTGAATTTGTGATACTTGGTAAACCATAAGGACCATTTTTGTAATTCGTCTAAAAATAATTTAAATGAGTGGAGGAGGATTTGAACTTGGGACCTCTTCCCCTAATCCCAAACCAACCTAAGCCTTATACCAATAAGCTGCATCCAAATTTGGTTTATAATTCCGAAAAATAAATTATATTATTTAAAATCGCAAAAAAGGATAAATAACAAAATAAATTACAATTTTTTTTACATAATTTTTTTTAATAAAACAAATTGTACTTTTACCGTATTGAAGAAAAAATAAAATTTTACAATTAGTTTATATTTTTTTTACGTTTTTATTTTACGTAAACTATTTTTTATTTATTTGAAAATATGTTTTTGTACAATACGCTATTATGTTGTTATAATCTTATACTATACTTTTATGTTACGTTAACGTCTTTAATTGGTTTAAAGCAAAACTACAAGTATTTTTTTGCGTAAAAATATTAAGAACATGATAACATAACGTAAAAAAATACTTGAATATTCGCTTTAAATCAACTAAAGATGTTAAGATAACGTAAAAATATATTATATAAAAATGTATTTTTTAAATACATAAAAAAACATAATTCACACACACACACACATATATATATATATATATATATATATATATATATATATATATATATATATATATAAAAGAAAATTACACATTTTTAAGATTAAGTTTTTGTATAATATGTTATTACGTTTTTTTATGTATTTAAATATTACTAAAAAATGTGTAACTTTTTTTTGTATATATTTATTTTACATGAAGTATGTTTTTTATGTATTTAAAAAATACATTTTCATATGATACATTATTACGTCGTTAAAATCATAAAATATACTTTTACGTTATCTTAACATCTTTAATTGATTTAAAGTGAATATTCAAGTATTTTTTTTTACGTTATGTTTTCATATTCTTAATATTTTTACGTAAAAAAAATACTTGTAGTTTTGCTTTAAACCAATTAAAGACGTTAACATAATGTAAAAGTATACTATAAGATTATAACAACATAATAACGTATTTTACAAAACCGTATTTTTTAAATACGTAAAAAAATTATTTTACATAAAATAAAAACGTAAAAAAACATATAAACTAATTGTAAAATTTTATTTTTTCTTCAATACGTAAAAGTACAATTTGTTTTATTTAAAAAAATTATGTAAAAAAATGTAATATATTTTGTTATTTATCTTTTATTTTTTTTTTGCGATTTTACATAATGTAATTTATTTTTCGGAACTATAAACCAAGTTTTGTTGCAGCTTATTGGTATAAGGCATAGGTTGGTTTGGGATTAGGGGGAGGTCCCAAGTTCAAATCCTCCTCCACTCGTTTAAATTATTTTTAGAAGAATTACAAAAATGGTCCCTATGGTTTACCAAGTGTCACAAATTCAGTCCCTTTATACTTGAAAAGACGAAAATGCCCTTACGAATTCAGTCCCTAACAGCTGAATACTAACGACGTTAGTAAAAAGGACCATCTGTGCAAGTTTTTCAAACCACAAGGACCATTTACATCAAAAAAAAATTAATAGGGACTGACTTTGTGACTTTTGGCAAACCATAGGGACCATTTTTGTAATTTTGTCATTCAAAAGTTATACTAAAAATGCAAATAAGTGTGAACCACAAGGACTAAATATGTAATTTAGTTGTTTTTGTTATTTATATATTTAAAACAAAATTTGTCCATATTGAAAAATATATATATAGGAAATGGTCCCATGTTTTTTTAACTTACACGAATTGTCCCTAAGTTATATAAAATGACTTATGCTCTTTTTTTTTTGTAACTTCTATTACTTTTTAACTAAATTTAATTATTAAACATACGAAAAAATTATTGTACCACCACTACCTCTATCTTCCCCCTTCTTTTGGTACTTGTTTCCTTATCATCTATTTTCTTTCACTTACTCTCCTTTTCCTTCACCGATAATCGGCATCTCTGTCAAACACCACCATGATTTGAATATGATAAGAAACAGATGATAAAATAGATAGATTCGAGAGTAGATATGACGTGAGGTCGCTAACAAAAGGAAGGCAACACGATAATTGTCTGGTTGATGGTTATGGTGATGATAATCCCTACTAATAATGGTAAATCAGTCGTTTATGAAAAATTCATATTCAAACTAAAAATTATGTTTTCTTATGATTTTGAGTTTAGTTTAAGTGATTATCGTTCAAATTATATAAAATAACTCAAGTTAGAATTTGATGTTGGAATTAATGACCCCCTTAATTAATAATTTAATCAAATCAATGATGTTACAAGGATGATATCTCATGTTTAGTTTAAATTTTGAACCCAATCAACCCATTATAATCAACTCGAGTCATTGAAGCTGTATGAAGTGTAGAAGCAAACTTGACAAAGTATGGAGATTGACTATGTGTAGTTAGTTGACTTGGGGTTTGGACTTTGGTTCCATATCATTCATTAAACATATTACACTATTTCTTATTTAATAAACAATGTATGAGTTCTTATGTTTATGCTTTTATGGGTTATCTTTATTGTTTACGAGTTATGATGCTTATAATAGTGTATTACATTTCTATAATGTTTTCTCCAAACTTTGAGCTAAAGAATTTTATTAAGTTTAAAGACATACGAGGGTGCTATTTTGGCATGCACTAATATTAGTAACATTTCATTGGAGAAACTTGGGAGATTAAAGAACACTTGGGATTTAGAATACCTATTAAATTGTGATACACTAATACATTTTAAACAACTTATTCGATGGTTGATCTGATGTTTATGGGACTTGATTCGCAATAAATACTTAAATGGTTTTAAATTTGATTTTTAAATTAATGTTTCAGACTATCCATACGATGTGTGTTTCATGAATTGGTAATATGTTTTCACCACTGAAACAATTATATATATATATATATATATATATATATATATATATATATATATATATATATATATATATATATATATATATGTTATCAATTAAAAATTACTTTCCATATATGATTGTGTTATGTTTATTATTAGATTTTACTATTTCATTAACGTTGTTTATTTATTAATCCATCAAATGAATCAATATATGTCTAAGTCCTAACAATTCATTTATTATACATAACATAAAGCTATTATACATTGGATTATAGAGTCACATCTTCCATTTGACCCCATTGTCGTTATATAGACATATAATAAGCCATGTTCATACAATCTATGGTGTTGCGAACACAAGGTATGTGATGCTCGAGCAGGCGAGCTAATGTATGTGGTGCTTGATGACAAGGTTTTCGGTACACTGATCATATGGTTTGTTCAGTTGATGTCATTTGGGGTTGATATAACCAATGTTTAGGTCAAATTGTTATTATAAATAGATCCTTTTGTACCTCTGTACCCTAAATAGAAATTCACATATGGATTAGTTGATCACTTCAATTATGTGAACTACGTTAATTCACCATGTTCTTATTTCATTGTACTTTTATAAATCATGAAAACACCTTTTAGATCTTTTTAATTTAAGATAATATTCATACACATGAACTAATATATATATATATATATATATATATATATATATATATATATATATATATATATATATATATATTGTAGCCTTTTAATGACAATTGTGGGCAAAAATGGATATAAGATGGAAGAAAAGCATGTGTAAATGAATAACACATGTTGATATATGATGGACGAATAGCCGCTCTTCCTTGAAGACGGCAGATGACATTCAACTTGTGGCTTCTAGCTGGATTAAGTTGCGTTCTAATTATATTTATCTGCGTTGGTTTAAATGGTGTATTTCTCCGTTAAATGTTTGGAATTTGTAACTTTTGTTGGTTTCTTGCTAGTCTTTAATGCACTTTCCGTTCAAAAAAATTCATACCATAATAAGAAAAAGAGATTATATGTCTAATAGTTGTCTTGTTTTTGTTCAAAACTGTTTTCTTTAATAGTTTTGACCATATTTTATAATTGAGAAAAAGATGGAAGGTCTTTTATTATAGAATGGAAGTAAAAGGGACTTAAATGTAATTTTTTCATGATCGCATTGCGAGCTCTAAAACCCCACAGACGGTTCAATCTCCTCCGTCGGCCATCGCGTAGCCGTGAGGCAAATCCAAAATTCCATTAATCGGTAAAAATGAGGCGAGCTTCTACTCTCGTTGCTTCCACTGCCTTATCTCGAGTCCTTCTGGCATCTTCAGAACAACAACGATACACAAGGCTCTTTCAGGTCACATCCTTTTACGCCGGCATCAATGTGGGTTCTCCCCGGCGATCATTTTCAACATCCATGAGATCCATATCTCGAGGTGTCTACTCGGATACTGCTAAGTTTTTTCTGTCTTTAGGTGGTCTTGCCGCCGCTTCTGTCGTTTTTGGCGTCACGTCATTGTTGGTGGAAGAAAAGGCTTATGCCAAAGAACTTCTTAAGCCTGATCTAGTCCCGAAGGACGTTGTACTCTACCAATTCGAAGCTTGCCCTTTCTGTAACAAGGTTAAAGGTAATGTCTCATTCTCATGCTCTCCAAATCAAGAATCTTGTACATATCAATCAGTATCACAATTACTTTTATAGCCATGATAATAGGCAAATACATGCAATCATCAATGATTCAATATTCTTAAGGTATTTGTATTTATGATGCTTTCTCGATCAGCATTCTTGGATTACTATGATGTTCCATACAAAGTCGTGGAGGTGAATCCATTCAGTAAGAAGGAAATCAAATGGTCTGAGTATAAGAAGGTGCCCATATTGATGGTGGATGGTGAACCATTGGTGGATTCATCAGGTATTTCCTTACTTTAACCTAAATAAACTATGTTGGATATTAATCTCAACTATATAAGACTTATTTTACCTTCAGTAAGGTAATTTATCTCCTTTGAAGATACAATGATTCTTTCTTGCAGCTATTATTGATCAGATGAGGAACAAGATCATTCGTGCAAAATCTTCATCAGCTGATGATGAAGAGAAGAAATGGTGCAGGTTTGTAATTCATATCAATGTTCATTAGTAGAGAATGTTCTGAAACAAGAATTATATGCAGGTGGGTTGATGATCATTTGGTGCATATGCTATCACCAAACATATACCGCAACACTTCTGAGGCTCTAGAATCCTTTGATTATATTGCTAGCAATGGTAAAAGCTATATGTGTTCTTTTGTAGTTGACATATATGTGGAGAATGTATACAAATAGAAAGTATATAATCATTCGCCATGACAATGATGATTATAAATTTCAGGTAACTTCAGCTTCTCTGAGAAATATACAGTGAAATACGCAGGGGCTGCTGCTATGTATTTTGTGTCCAAGAAACTGAAGAAAAAGTATAACATTACTGATGAAAGAGCAGCCTTGTATGAATCAGCAGAAACATGGGTTAATGCACTTGATGGCAGAGATTTTCTAGGTCAGCTTTCCATCAAAATTGGACTTTTGACTTTTCCCATTTCAGATGTTGACTTAGTGGTTGTTAATTTAGGGGGTTTGAAGCCAAATTTGGCGGATTTATCAGTGTTTGGGGTGTTGAGGCCTGTTCGATATTTAAAAGCAGGTAAAGATATGGTGGAACACACAAGAATTGGTGATTGGTACTCAAGAATGGAGATTGCAGTTGGAGAATCTTCAAGAATAAAAGCATAGATTCTTAAAAACTTCAAGGCTAACCATTCTTATTATTCATATAATTTTTTTGAGTGAATTTAATTCTAAAAGATGGAATTAAAATTGATATCAGATATGAGATATGTAGGTAGGCATATACAATAAAAATAGATCAATAAGACAAACATGTTGATGTTTGCTTTCTTACAATTTTGAATTGCTTTTTTGTTATTGATTGAATGAATATGAATATAATACACGGTTACACATCATTTGATAATTTGTAGTATGTCAATGTTATTTAGTATGAAAAATTATTACTATGTTATAAATGTGATCTTCATGTATGGTCTATTGAATGAGAAAAAGGAAAAGTTAAGCATATCCATAATAGATATAAGAGAAATTAAATATCTTCATACTATTTTTTTCCTACCATCTTTCTATATATTTAAGATTGCAACACTTGTCTGTATTTAATAAAATTAATATCCACACCTCACGACATTCATGTTGATATACTCTTCACATGAGAGAGAGAGTCAATCGTGCTCTACACCACAAATCAATCGTGCTCTACACCACAAATCAGCATGACCACAATGCAATGTTGCCAACATGATCATCACGAGCCTTTGGAGGGCCTAAATGTTATTAAAACAATATCAAGAAGATGATGTTGAAAATAAATTTTTTGATAATTTAAAACTATATTGTTTTCCATATTTAACTAAACCTAATAAAAAGTCTAAATTGAATTTAATACCATCTATTTTTTATTTTTATTTAGTAATATCTATATTATTAATTTTACATATTTGAATATTTAACTACTTTAATATTATTTTTTAACTTTTATTTTTATACATTTAAATTTCAATTTTTTTTATCCTTTGTTTTTAAGTTTTCTTTTTGGTAGTTTTTTTTTTTGCATTTGTGATTGTTTTCTCTTTTTGGTCTCATTTATCTCTTTGGTCCATTTTTGTCTCAAAATCAATGTACGATTTATATATCATCTCTAATATATAAATGTTTTTTTATTTTCACATGTCTTCTTCTCATTCATTTTGCCACATGCTTTTTTTGGTTTTTTTTTTTCTTATTTTTCACTTGTTATTTTTTGAGGTTTTTCATTCTTTCATTAAATTTCCATAATTTATGGTTATATATATGGAAGGTTTTTATTCTATTCATATAAGGTTATCATTTTATTAATTTAAGAATAAATTCATTAAATGTTACAAACTCATTGATTTACTTTCTTTTTTCAATTACTTTGTAAAATGTTTAATGTTTACATATTCATATTAAACTTTTTATTTTTAATAAAGCTGTGTAGTACACGAATCTCACAAATAATTTATATAATGCTCATCAAAACTAGGCATCTAGTTGTTTAAATTATGATTATATATAATTTCTTTTTGTTGAATGTTGTTTTAAAAGAAAATTCATATATAAGGAAGGATAAATGAAATATATAACTAAGATAAATGGGATGGGGATGTAAATTCTATGTAAATAAGAAATGAAAAATCTAATTTCAGATATTAGATTCTTAAATTCTTATAAAATGTACAAACACTGTTGAATTAATAATTTCATCATTCTAAAGTTGTAAAATATTACTGAAACAATCTATTGAACTATTTCAAATATAGCATAATGTCACTCGCTAATTATATCACGAATTCATCATTCTTATGTATTTTAAACATTTATTTCTCTTATTCATCTTTCTTCAGGACCGGTTGGAGAAAATTTTCATTAGTTTGGGAATTCAAGTGATAAGGTATTTTTACTTTCTAGTTATTACAATATTTTGTTTATATAACAATTTACATTGAGATGCAAGTCAAGTATATAAAAATTAAGGAATACCTTAATTCTTTACCAATATATCACATTTACTATCTATTTTTATACTTTTTATATTTTTTATATTAATAGTTTATAACATACTCCACGTCCAAAATTTGTGTGGTTTTGTTTCGATGAATGCTCTAGATATAATCTAAAAAGAATTTGTACGACCTAAATTTGTTGTCCTTTTATACCATGGAAGTTGTTGTCAAGTGCGTAATTACTATGGGTTACTATATGCATATGAATAATACAATATTTTAATGATTGTCAATTTCATGATAGATTTTGGAGAGAACTTGAGATAACACTATGCATGCCTATAATATGAAGATCTGGATGGTGAAAATGAACTAAATTTTAATCAAACATTTAAAAAATAGTTAAAACCTGGTAAGTGTAATCTTTTAAATAAGTTAAAATATGTAACGATTCAAAAATCAAGGGTAAAAATTTTATTTTTATTACAGCCAAAATATTTATACCATTTATTTCAAACATTACAAAACATTGTTAATTAAAACATTTATCAGAGTTCGTCTCAAAATCATTTGTTGCGGAAATCATAGATGTGTGCACTACGAACAATCTGAGCCCTTCTTTTCCAAATCGATAATACCTGAAACAATAAACAAAACTGTAAGCACGAAGCTTAGTGAATTTCCCAGAGCATACGCACACAAACCACATAATCCATATTAGCTATGAGAGTTACATAAACCATATAAGTCATGCATATAAACATATAGGGATGTCGTGGAAACCTTCCAAGGTCTTATACTTTGGTAAAATATGGTTATATTTTAAAGTATAATTCTTGGTCAGAGTGTTTTATCCCTTTTTGTATTTATAGGCTGTATATCTTTTATGAATGGATATACTTAGCTCACTATAAACAATGCTCTGATACCAATCTGTCACACCCCAAAATCGGAACGGCGGAAACGTTCTGGGGTGGATGACGTCATGTCAAGTGTCACAACACATGCATTATAGTAATCAAAGTACAACAAAACATTGCATTAATAGTAATAGTTCTACAAGGTTACATTACAACACTTTAAAGTAATACAAGTAATGGCATAAATACAGCGTGATACTAAGCTATCTTCATCAACAGCTCCGGAGGTGTACCTGTCTAATGCTAACCTGAGAATACAAGTTATTTGAAAAGCGAGTATCAGCATTTTTACAAATGCTGGTGAGTTCATAAGTATTTAGTGTCATTTAGTCAAATAACTTTATAAAGCAGTAGTTTAAGTGTTTTCAGTGTATTAGTGTTCTTTCCAGAAAATTCTATATTTTCTTTAACAAAAGCAACCCTCTACCAAGACTGGTCAGTGTAATATGGTAAAAGAAGTTTCCCTTAATTGTTATTATTATCAAAATACTAAATTAGATTATTAAAGAAAGCAAGAGGCATCAGGGAAACATATGCCTCAGCAGTGAGGACTGCTGGCTAAGGCAAAAGAATCATAGCCTCCCCAAGTAACACGGGAAACCCCCACGTGGTCGTTACTAGCCGCCACTGGAACCCCCACATGGTGTTGGCTAATTGTCGCAGCAACCTCCACACGGTCTACATTAATCATGGAAATATAATACATGCTAAACAAGTAAACATACTAGGAAGTCATGGAAACCCTCCAAGGCGTAACATCCAAAAAATTTAAGCCAAATTTAAACTTTTTCAACCATGAAATCAAATAGTGTTTTACAAAATGTTTTCAAAATTATTAATCATCAGAGTGTCCTAGAAATATAATCATATGGATGAGGAGCGGTACGATCAAGCCTTTGCCTTGCCATGATCTCTAAAAGTACCTAAAACAATAAACTGAAACTGTAAGCCCAAAAGCTTAGTGGGTTACCCCTAAAATACTCGTACCACACCAATAATACCATATCAATAACAGATAATCAACAACATGCATAATGGGCCTTCGGCCTGACTGGACCGCCCTACAGGGCCTACAGTCTATCTGGATCTATCACGAGCCTTCAGTATGACTGGACCGCCATACGGCCTACAGTCTATCCGGATCGTTCGTAAGGTATGTTGGCCTTTAGCACAAAGCAGGACCGCCTCAACCCCAAACATCAAGCAAATAACCATGTGCACATAACTAACATATACTGGCATGTACAAATATCAAATATAACTATCTCATAGATTATTGATCATAGAAATCTCTCATAACCAGAGCACCAACCTAACTAGGTCGCTAACATACGAATCCTAACGGATCATAACCACATGTAGCATACTATAACCAAGATAACAACAAAAGGGTTGGCCTTGGTGCCTTAGACCCTATTGATATAGTGAGGATAACTCACCTTGCTAGTAGCTCGGAATGATACTGTCCACACCTCCAGATATAGCTCCAACCACCTCGCCTGTACCCATAACTGGTCCACTCTATAATCACTAAAATTACCAAAATGCCCTAGGGAGGTACAAGACATCCCACATTCAAGTCAAGTCAGTGGTCAATGGTTAACAGTCCATGTTGACCTAGGAGTCCGTTTGGAACAGGGCGTTACAAAATGTATACCATAAATAACTCCAATTTATGAACATGTACACAGTTCCATTCATGAGTGTCTTTCTTTGAAGGATAAATGGTTCAATAAAACTTTCCCCAACAACCATTTATACTAACTTGTTCAAAAGTGTCTAAATTTATTGATCCACATGTTTTATGCTACAAGGAACGAACAAGACATGATTTCCACTTTGATAATAAATCAAATTATTCAGTTCTATACATTAATCGAGCTCTAAAGTTATTTCAACCTACCATTAGGCAAATACAAGATGTGAAAATGGGAACTATGGTCTTGGTGGATAAATGGTGTTTCTTATGACCCTCATCATCATCATCTCCATTCACTACCTCATCACCATGACCCTCATCAACATTAGCTTAATATAGTTGGTTATCACCATCACCCTTATAAGCGACACCTTCATCATCATTATCCTCATTTGGTAGTTCCCCATCCTCATTAATTCATGTTTTTGATAAAGATATGCGAGGTTAATAATGTAACAAATGTAGAATAGTTGAATAAATAAAACAATTGTATTAGTATTACCATCTCAACCGGTGACAATGTTATCACATATAATTTGTATCCCTCTTTACTTGTAGTTTCTTCTATTGTGTAGCTCGACTCTAATTACATTATTAATTCTTCATCATCTATTTTGACTACCCTAGGGACAAAATCTTATGTATTACCCTGGCCCAAGTTCTACAATAATAGTTGTACTTTCATCACCCTTATGTCGACTAACATCATATATCCCATTTTGAGTCCCTTTATTAAGAATGTCTTTTATCCCATGTCATTTTCAACCTCATCAAGAATTTCACTTAGCCCATGATTAACCACTCATCATATACATGTTGACTTGTCATATGACCACTCTCGCCATCTTCAATAACTTGACTTTTCTCATGATCATTCAGTTGACTTCACCCACCAAGCACACATTTATCAACCAACTTAACACTTTTTGTCCCTTATCAATATATTAATTCCCTAAGCAATTAACTAACTATATTATATCCCTTATCGTCAAGCACTTGTGTCTCAGGGGATGTTATATCAACTCTCTTACCACCTCTTTTTTTCACACTTAGTTTCTTTTCTTTTTGGCAATCCTAGAAGGATTTTTTTTCTTAGCCTAGGTGTAGGTGCATTTGTATACGAATCACTCAAGACTTTTTTTTTCTCCAAGATATAATAGTAGATGGATCAAAAGAATTTTTTATTTTGATTTGGAATGATATTTATTTGTATATCCAAGCTTCATACAATCTAAATGGACATAAGTTCCCTTCCTTACTCTTTTCACATGTTGCTATAATTTTCGTAATCATTTGAGACTGCATAGTTTGTGACACAAAATTTGAGTTGCATAGGGAACTCAAATACGTCACCAACCATTGGTTTCATCTTGTTCCATTTTGTGGTTGGATTAGGAATCCTATATTTGGTAGTTATATACTCCTCATTCTCCTCTTCACTTTGCTAATCATAAACATGATAAACTTGAGCTCTAATTTCATCATCCATGGAAGCATTACATAGATTTTCATCATTCATCATAGCTTAAGAAATATGACCTTACTTATCAAGTGTTGTAACAAACTCTTCATCTGGTTTATGATCCATGTAAATGTCATTAACCTCCAAATCAACTTCACTAAATCCAGAAAATGCTCTTTTAACTACCAAATGGGTCGTCGTTGTTTCTTCCTATGATGTCGTTTTTAACGTTTCTTCCTATGATGTCGTTTTTAACACCTACACAACATTACACTAGCCAACACGTTTGATTAAACCATAAATGAAGAAAAAAAATTAGAAATTACATCACAAAGAACATATCAAGTGCACGTTTTGCTCTAACTCTTGAAACTATACCCTAGTTTACGTGATGATTTCTTGCAAATATCCAAGCTTTCCAGCTCCAATCAAATACATAAAGTTGACGTATAGGGACATGTTTGCCTTCTTGACGCATAACGTGACTAAGTCCCTCTAAACGGGAACACACTAATGGGACAAAAACGTTTTTAACGAGTATATTGAATGGCACATCAGCTAGGTTACCGACTATGAAAATTGAAAAGTATTAACAAAATTAGATGCTTTTTATAGTTTTCTCATTTTCCAAATCTCAAAATTTGTTAATTTTTTTGATTTACAACAAAGTGCTCTAATTCTGTAATTAATTAAAGATGAGGAAAAAGGTTCAATCTGTAGGAATAATATATACGTACACCGTCACGTCGAACACCCCAAACCAGTCTCTCTCGATTCAACAGACACCATCTTCCAAAATTCCTGCGATTTCTTCTCTTCAATCGGAGATTCAGAATCGCAACCAAAAGCCAGCTTAAAAATGCAAAGATCTTCTACCAATAACCCTTCTTACTCATCTTCTTCTCCTTCTTCATCTCCAAATTCACCATCTCATTCATCCATCACTGTTCATTCACACGTTGCATCATCCACGGACTCCTCTTCTTCCTTCCAATCATCATTCCCATCTTCTTCTCCTTCTCGTTGTTTTGGTCTCAACCTACTCGTTAAGGCAATCCATCAAGTTACAGCAGGATCGGTAGTTGGTGTCCCCTACATACAAAGAAGAATCCTAACCAGAAGAAGGAGACCCATCCAATTCAACAACCTTATTCTCACTACTACCGATTTACTATCCAAATCGAGATCCAAATCAAAGCCAAAAGCGAAAAGACAGAGGAGAGTTAATATGACAATGCCCTCTAAGTACAGAGACTCTGTTCTTCAGCCATTGACTCCCAAACGACGCTCAGAGAGATCATCCGCAGTTAAGATCATCGGTGAACAGTTTCATTAGTTTTTGTTTGCTTTGCCATCGCAGATCTGTTCTGCTACAGTGATGAATCATATATTATTCTTTTGGGGTGAGTATTTTTTACTAGATTTTTTGTGATATCTGTACCTGATCTGGTTAGTTTAGACTACGATCGATGATTAAACTTAGGGGTTTTGGGGAGTTGGTGGGTTTTACAATCATTATTAGTTGAATTTTTTTCGGCCAACAGAGAATTTGGCCCCTTCATCAGTTCCATGATATTCTGTGCAATTTCTTTCGACATCTACGATCAAATTGTAGTAACATCAGTCATGATTCATGCTTGAATCTTTTCTTTTCATCTGTAATTGCTTTGCTTCCTCCCCAATTAGCTTGGAAAACATATTATATGATAAATTTTGTATTTTTTTTTTTTTTGTTTTGTTGGCAATTTGAGTAGCGTAAAGTTTGATTTTTTGCTCTGTAAGATGTTTAATCAATCAAGTTTAGTGTGTTCATAATTCAGATGCTTAATCAGTCAGATGTGCATTGCATTTCAGTTATTCAGTTCATGCACTTCATGCGTAGTATTTGATCCAACAGGTACTTATCAAGTCAAAGGTAGAAACTTGATGGTTGAGATTTCTGACAAATCTATTATAAGGACAGTTTGAAAAATCTACCATTGAATAATTTTTTTGAAGTACAATGCTGTAATAAATAAAAAGAAATAAAACAAGGATGATATATTGATAAAGTATGTTGTTATTTCCTTCCATTAACCCCTTAGGAGATGTTTATGTTGATGATGTTTTCTCATTACTATACTGTGTTTATGGTTGTGAAGTATGCTCTTCTGTCTCACTTAGATTTGTGGAACATTTGCTCTATAAATATCTCCTTTCTTTTGGGAAACTTTGCCAAATCATAAGTATTTTGCTCATGAAAGGAATTCATCTCATCTTACATGGCTCAACCCATATTTTTTATATCATAATATCATATCATTATATCTTTTAAAGTCCTATCTTCCACAAAACATCTTGTCTTTGTATTATTATAAACTTATTTTCACATCAATATTAGATCTATCATCTTTCATAATGGGCACAAAAGCCTTGCAAGTTGCAACCAGAAACCCTTGAATGATCTAAACAAGGAAGACATCTTACTCTTTCAACCAGAGTCCTATTATTCATTTTCACAATTAAACCATTCAACCAAGGAATCTTGGGAGATGTTGAATGCCTTATTAGTTCCTGCAATACTTCTTGATGTGCCCTTATTGTTTTTAATGATAACATTTAATAGTAGCAAACAAACCTGTTTGAAATGCCCTATTTCGCCATTATTATAACACTCAACACAAGAAGATAATCAATAACAAACCAACCTAATCAACAACAAGAAGATAATCAACAACAAACCAACCTAATATGAACCATGCAAACTAGATGCATTTAGCCTCCAAGCAGTATTAAATGAAAGAAGAACTCATATTTTAACAACTTCAAATCTCACAAGTCTATAATCTCCAAGAAGCAAAATTGAATTCAAAATCATAGTATGTATATATAAAACCAGAGTTTAGTATTCACAAGCACTAACAAAATGGCATATACAATAGACTAGAGATGAAAACACCATCATCCCATTTATTCTTCAATCAGTATCATCAATCAAAATCTAACACAAAAATAAGAGAACGTACTTTTTAAACTTAACTTAAACAGCATTCTTGTCCAATGCTCTCTCCAATCTTGCCTTAACAGGTGTAGAGTGACAGCTCAAGGCTTTCTTCTACAAAAGATAATACAATCGATTTAAAAACCAAATAACTGAATAAAATATTAAAATCCAAATTAGTTAAAACTTACTTGATTTCTTCTGGGCTTTCCTCCCAAGGGAGATGAAGAGAAAGAGTTTGGAGAATCTGTATGATTCCAGTAACTCCCAACACTTCCTATGATTGGAGTGTCATCAAGGTCCCGACATGGTGACTTTCTTGGAGATGATCTTGCAGACACCTGTTTGACTTCATCAATGGTCCAAGCTCCTAAAATGGGTCGATCTTCAAAGCTCTTCCAAGAAGTTGCCCCATCAGAATATGAACACGAATTCCCTACAGAAAATTGACTATCTCCCATGCTTACTTCAACTGTCTTATTATTATCTGCTTCATTTTCATTTTCAATCAACCAGCTTGAAAGGCTTGTAGTCACTTCTTCACTATCTTTTTTAACTTTCCCATTTCGATCTGAAACTGAAGCTTTATGTGGGATCTGGGTTTCTTGTTGTTGTGGTTGTAAATAGAGATTTTCTTTTTCTTGGTTGTGATTTTGATTGAAAGGAGGTATTGGTTTGGGAATCAATGTTTTCCATTGAGTAAGATTCTCAATTGGATTCAACAACGAATTATCAATGCTTTGGTTCTGATCATCCCTGATTGATTTTGCATTCAGCTCCGGTGAACGACTGGTTTTCAGTGGACTGTTGACCTCTTTATCATCCAAGTCAACTGGGCAAGACTTTGATAGTCTTCTCGGATTGATTGATAAAGAAAATAAGGATTCAGATGAATCCTCTTGAATCAATACATGATCTTCATCTTCGTTGATTACACAGTTATGGTATCTGTGCATCGGTGGATAAGATATATAGCTTGAAACACTAGAATCAGAGCAGGCTCGAATTTTATTATCTCTTTCATTCTCAAGTTTCACATGAATTCCTGAACTCTTACATTCTTCTTTCTTTTTCTCAATCTCCACAAGATTTCCCAATTCTTCATTTTCTTTTTTCTCACTCTCAAGTTCCACAAGAACTCCTAATTTTCCAATCTCCGCTGTATTTTTCTCCGTATCCTCTTTACTTTCTACCGAAAGAAACTCAACCTTTTCAATGGGGATATCTGCATTGGCCTCAACGTCTAAATCTATAGTGACTGACTTATCGTCACTGTCATTGATCAGTTGATCTTCGCTGCTATCCCTAGAAGAGCCATAACAAGAAAAATAAAACAAGCAGGCAAACTGTTCGATAAAATGCTTCAAAGAGAGAATCACACAAACGACGCAAAAAAGCTTATCACAGTGAAACCCGATGCCTGTAAATGCAAGAGACGAGTACCATATATTGATGACTATTGGGTATATCAACGAAACTCATGAAATTACCTGGATTCTGAAACGGGGTTTTGGAGTGAACCAAGATTTGTTGATTCTTCTGTGGGTACTTTGATCAGAAGAGACTTGCAAGTTTTCTCATTTCCCTGGAACGGATTATTCAACCATAATACTTAGAATTACGAAGAAGATACAAAGAACTGAAAGCGGAATATGTACCTGATCTATAGAAGAAGATGAAGTCGTTGGGTTGGCAGATTTCTTGAGTTTCCGATGCTTGGAATTATTGAAACAAGGAAAGACAGAAAACCAACCCATTAGTTTCAGATGCTTATGTTAAATTCAATGAAGCTGGTTTTGATGTAACACACACACCCAGGGAGAGAGAGGAGAGAGAGATGTGAAGGGGGGAGGGAGGGGATGCGGGGGCTTAAAAGAAGGAAAGAGTTTGGAGCGCGTTTGAAAAAAGTGACCGTTGCTCAAATAGATTTAGGCTCTAATGGGGCCTTTTGCCTTTACATAACGATTATTCTATTGTAATGTTCGCACATCCTTTTAATTCGACATTTGTTTTCATTTTACTTAAGTTATGCCAAATGTGTATTAAGAAACCATATACATCATTTTTTGTTATTTTTCGCCATATAAACGCATATTATTAGAGTTTATTATTACTTACAACTGAAAAAAAATATTGTCTTGTATAAAAATTTGATAAGTCTTCTTATTTCGGAATGGTAGAGCTTTAGTTTCTACTAAAATTGACATGACACAACATGATGATATTATAAGAAAAAAAAGGGTTAATGATAAAGTTAACCATGCAACTATATATATATTATATATTTGGCAATGAAAGATCGAAGAGTAATAACTTTTTTTAGCAACTATTGTGTTAAAAAACTCGCAAGAAACTAGTAAATAATTATACGAGTTATAAGTTACAGAATTACATAAGGAGAAGAGCACCTAGAGGGCCAATTAAAGTCAAAATTGTATCTTTCCACCGTATCTTTAATTCAAACAAAACTAAACATCTTTATTTGCTCAAGTATCAATGACTATCACTACCGGGAAGTATGGTGATTATTGAACACCAAAGCACTTTTCATATTCCAAATTAGCTAAACATTAAAAAAAAAATGGCATTTGATAGTTACTGATAAACCTTGGGGATTCGTGGTAGCCACATAGGAATAAAAGATGTGAGAAGTCGACTTGAATAGACCACCTTTTAGGCCATCCAAATCGCACCATTGAGGATACCGTCTTACATTATTGAAATGGGGGAGTGAGAAACAAAGAAATGGTCAGCATCTTAGATCCCGATTAACATAAGATGTACAAAGTTGAATTCATTCCAATCCCTCTAATAAAAGACACTACAATGTAGGAGGTCTATTCAAGTTATCCCTCCATGCGAAGCAATTCACTTTGAGTGGGATCCAGTTATTCCATATAAACTGATACTCAACTAAAGCACAACTATTGTCCTATATTAATCACCTCATTATACAAACCAAAAGGTTAGAAGATATATTTGCATCCCAATACCACAAAAATGACTATTGAGAAATTGGAAGTTAGTCATGATGTTTATGCAATTTTATGCGTTTGGGGCTCCCTCCCTATGTGAATTGGCCAACTCCATCACCAATCCGAGCTCGTACTTACCACCAAACATTCATTGGTTAATGATGTATTTTTTTGGTCCCTATCAAAGCGCATATAAGTTAGGAAAGCATAAACTGAAAGATAATGGTCCAACCCCTTATCATGCCAAAAAATGTATCACCTCCATTACCCACTTTTTTATGGAATGAGACAACAATTTGGATATTTAAAGTAACAATGTCGGACCATGTGTTGGGAATGGTTTTCCAAATTCCAGACAACCCTTGTTTTTTTGGGTTATGAGCAAAACAACATTCCTATGGTATTCATGCAAACCCTAATGCTTGAATCTAGTTTTTCTACTTGTACATGCAAAATTTTGTCAAAGACTTGCAAACCCTAATCTAACATACAAAAAAACTTAAAATCAACATAAAAAACTAGTAAGAATGTTACCTTGATTGTTGCTTGAAGATCTTGAGTTTTTTAGAACCATAGCACCTCAAATGTTGTGCCTCTAATAGATCACAAACACCAAAGCAATTGTAGAATGATGGGGAGAAAGGAATGGAGTCTCAAAATGGGCTCTATGATCTTTGGGGTTCGAGTGGCTGATTTTTGGATGCCAAAGTGGTCTTTATATAACTGTAAAATTAGGGTTTCAGTCAAATGCCTAACCTGGTTTGCTTAAGTCCTAAGCAGCCCATAAGAATCTTCCAGAATCAATCCCCTTGGACGAACTCCTTATGGGCTCCCATAAGATTTCGTCCATCCCTTTCTCAAAGGATCCACAGCCCAAATTCCAATTATCTTATAATTACAATTTCAGTCCCGTAGTTTAATTGATCTCTTTTGATCACAAAAAAAAAATTAATTCTTGACCAATATTAATTAAACAAATATGATTTCTCTTTTAATATATTATTCATATAATATATTAATAAACCATAATAACTCTTTCTCCATTATTCATCCAATCAAGTTGCTCTGGTGAAGGCAACCCCAAAGGACCATGCTACAACCGGGTCAAGTACATACCAAATATAGTTATGGACTTAGACCGTAATCCAACAGTCTCCCACTTGGATAAGTCTAATAACTATAATTGCAAGTACGACTTCAAGATCCGATTAGCAATCGTAGCTCTCAAAAGCTACCATCGAACTCTGACACGTCCTTTAGATAAATGATCGTACAATCCTTTGTTCTCAAGATATCGTGTGGACAATTACATGGAACATAGTCATACTCATTGTCCAGTAGTTTGTTTCTCAATCTTTGATGTGTTTGACATAGAACTTAATTGAACACATCAACTTAGTCCTGACCGCGCCCAACACATAAGTAAAACCAAATCATCAAGGGGCCCAAGATATCGCTTTTACCCTCATAGGATAAAAGGAACATATAAACTTTGACTTATATGATTTTACTATTCACTGATCAAATCATACACAACAATGCATTTTATAACATCAAGTTACTGATGCGTTTACGCATTATCAATGCACAATCGATTTGCAAACAATAAACCATATATCTAGGTTTAAAGACTATATGATATTATTATCTCACAATCACTCGTGATTAAATTCCATGAAGGAATTCAAGTGAGTGCTGGTCTAATACAATACTCAAATCTTATTTCAAGAGCACTATTGAACGTTGCAGCAAACTTTTGCTATACCTGAACGCTTAGATAATCTACAAACCAATTCATGACAGTCTTCATTCATACCTACTTCTAACCTATGATCGACTGTGGATAGTTTAAATAATCTTATTATTTATGAAGTCAAAACATGCAAAGTGAAACAATAGTAAATAATTAACACAAGACAGTAACTTTACTTATAAATAATACTCCTTTATTTAATCATCAAATGTTAATTACAATTTATCTATTACAAGTTTCTAAAAGCTATCTAATCACTAAAACTAATATCGTCCTTCAGCTCAATGCTCCTAGCGTGCTGCAAGTGCTTAACCCTACTCAGTCCCTTCGTAAGGGGATATGTTGAGTTATCCTCTGACGATACCCTCTTTACTACGAGGAGTCCCTCTTCTAGCCGATGTCTAATAAAATGATATTTCCTGTCGATATGTCTGGATTTGTCATGATCCATTGGTTCCTTGGTTAAGGCAACCGCACCTTCCTTATCGCAGAAAATCTCTATAGGCTCCTTTATGGCTGGCACAACTCTAAGGTCTCCGATGAAGTTCTTCAACCATATTGCCTCCTTCGACGCTTCACTCGCCGCTATGTACTCTGATTCGCACGTTGAATCAGCTATGGTCTCCTGCTTGGAACTTTTTCAAGTCACTACTCCTCCATTAAGGGTGAAGACCCAACCCGACCGAGATCGAAAGTTGTCTCGGTCGGTGTAACATCCCAAAAATCGAGTCTAAAAATTTCGTTTTTGATTAAATATTTTATAAAATCATTTACTAAAAACATTGTCGACATCATATCAATCCATAAATCATCGTGAACATGTCTCTAAATCAAAACATCAAACAATAATCAAATCAGAGTACAATTCCATGAATCACATAGTGCGGAAATCCGATGTGCGTGTGATGTGCAGCTATTGCGCTGACTCTTTCCCCTTCGTTGAAGAGGTACATGAAACAAAACTGAAAATTGTAAGCACGAAGCTTAGTGAGTTCCCCCATCATACCACATACCACATAATAATGCCTATTCATCGGTATCTTCCAACCGGTAGCCGGGAACTACCCCCCCCCCCCTTCGGTATCTTTCAAATGGTAACCGAGAGCTAACCTCCCCTTCGGTATCTTTCGACCGATAACTGAGAGCTAACATCTCCTTCGGTATCTTTCAACCAGTAACCAGGAGCTAACCTCCCCCTCGGTATCTTTTAACCGGTAACTGGGAGTTAACCTCCCATCGGTATCTTTCAACCGGTAATCGGGGACTATTTCACCCCTACCACTATCACATAATAATGTGTCACAATAATACTGCTAGGCATGTATGGGTACAATCCACCCCTTCTGTATCTTTCAACCCGTAATCGGGAACTATTTCACCCCTACCACTACTACACATATATCATAGCATCCTAGCATATAAATATAATAAATTCAACATTCCAAACAGTTATCACAAAGACAATCATCTTTACTACATTCTCCTACTAATGAGTCCGCCTTGGTGCCTTAGACCCATTTCTACTGGAAGGTAACTCACCTCGTAAACTGTGTGTCGAACCTTGCGGAGGAAATCTCTAATAGCTGCTCTGATGACTCCCGACTATCAGAGACACATAACACTTAATCAGAGTCTATAACACTACTCAGGGTAAAATGACCGTTTTACCCTTCGGTCCAATTGGGACATACTTAAGTCCCAATTCTAGCTTATTACACTCAGCTCTCTTACGGCCCATTAAAGATTCCCTAAGGGCCCACTCATTGTCCAATTTCTGAATTAGACCTTATTTTCCCAAACATGCCCAAAAATTCCCAAGTCCAATATAATAATTCTTAACGGCCCAATCTTGGCCCAAAAAGGCCCAATACTAATGTTCTATATTCCTAAGTCTAAAATGATACTTCACAGTGAGCCATGGGGCCCAAAAGTCTAGGCCCATCCTCTTAGGGCCTAAAAGCCCAATTTTCCCAATCTGCATGTGTACATACAGCGTACCTGGCACGTACGTTGGCCTTGACCAAGACGGGGAGTTTGACCCAGTACGCGCGACATACCAGGGAGTTCGCCTAGTATACTGGCCAGCTTCTTTGGGACTTCATTCATGACTTAATCTGTTAAGTCTTTACGTCCAAAATGCAGATCCAGCTCCTTTTAGACCTCCTAAACCGTAAAGTCATGAACTTTATGTGCTTGCATGCAAGGTTAGGGTTAAAAACAT